CTAGTAAAAGCCTTGAAGTCCTAGAGTGCAGACAGGAGCGGATTGAGTGACATTCAAGTTTTCTTGGAGTGACTCGTGAGTCTTTATGAGAGTTTTATCTGGTAAGGTCTTTTACACATCTTTTCTTTTTCTTATTTCACTAACCATGTCTCGGAGTCCAGGATGAACCCCTGAAAGAGAAGCCCCTAACTTGAAAACTCAAGCAATTATTCATGAAATGGCAAGATTGCTAAAATTAGAATTGAAGCCTTTGCATGAACGTATGGATCAATTTCAAGCATATTTGGGCAACCGGAGAATAAATTACCATAGAATGGAAGAAGAATTTGAGGAAGAAGAGGCTGAAGTAACATCAGAAGTAAGAAGAGACGTTCATCAAAATCAGAATGATAATTTCAGCAACATTAAGGTAACCATTCATCCATTTCAAGGACGAACTGATCTTGAAGCCTATCTTGACTGGGTAATCAAGATCGAGCACATTTTTTAATGTCAAAACTATACGAAGCAAAAGAAGTTCAGGCTTGCTGCTATGGAATTCGTGACTTTGCCCTAGTTTGGTGGGATCAATTGGTGAGTTCAAGAAGACGAAATGGTGAACGCCTCATCACTACGTGGGAATAAATGAAGGACATTATCAGGAAAAGATTTGTGCCTACTCACTATCACTGAGATCTTTACATAAGATACAAAATCTTAAACAATGAAGAATGAGCGTAGAAGATTATTTCAAGGAGATGGAGATAGCCATGATTCGAGCCAATGTTGATGAAGACAGAGAAGCAACAATGTCAAGGTTTCTATCTGGCTTAAATCATGACATTGTTAACCTTGTTGAACTGCCGTATTACGTAGAGATTGAGGAGATGGTACATATGGCAATGAAAATTGAACGACATATTAAAAGAAAAATCTTCAACCATAGTAGTCCAAATTCGGCCACCAAATGGAAACAAGAGCCTAATACTTTCCGGAAACCAACTCCAGTCCAAGCAAAGGATCATGTAGAGGTAACTAAAACTATTCAAGTGGGTGAATCCAGTAAGGGAAAAGAAAAGCAAACTAACTTTTTTGAGAGGTCCAGAGACATCAAATGCTTTAAGTGTTTTGGAAAAGGACATGTGGCCAGTCAATGTCCCAACCGAAATGCTATGATAGTACTTAACAATCGAGATGTTGTATCATATTCTGAAGAACCTATCTATGATAAGGAACCTGAAGCAATCCAAGATGAAGAATCAGAAGAGAATGCAGACTATGGAGAAATGCTTGTTTTAAAAAGGTGCATACAATCACAAACATCTCAAGAGGATTTAAAAAGAAACAACATTTTCCATACAAGGTGCCATGTCAAGGACAAAGTTTGCACAATGATTATAGATGGAGGGAGTTTCACAAACGTAGCCAACACTCTTATGGTTGAAAAACTTGGTTTGCCAAAGCATCCCACTCCATAAAAACTTCAATGGCTCAATGAAGGTGGTGAGTTAAACATTACTAAACAGGTTCTAATTCATTTTTCAATTGGTAGGTACAAGGATGAGGTACATTGTGACATTGTCCCTATGCATGCTAGCGACATTCTACTTGGTAGACCATGGCAGTATGACAAAAAGGCCATTCATGATTGTTATCACATTTAATACGCCTTTAAGCATAACGGAAACAAGGTAACCTTAGTACCTTTGATGCCTAAAGAAGTACAACAAGATCAGTTGCATATGCAAAAAAGTGTACAAGCATGGCGTAAAGACAAACCACCAATGAAGAATAAAAAAGGACGAAGCAAGAAACCAAACTTCTTCATGAAGAAACATGATGGCTCATTGATGGAAAATGAAGGGTCTCCTAAGAAAAATGGTTATGGTTGGGATTCAAAGCCACAACTCTTCACCGAAGGTCTTAATCTTCAAAAGGTAAGTACCCATTCATTTGAAAGCTCATATCTTCTCACTTCTTAGGACCAACCACATGAAATGTCACTTCCAAAAGGGATATCCCTAGAAGAAGATTATTCCCAAAAGGTACCTGTTGGTAAATTATATTCCAAAGAAAGGCCTAAAAGGAGATCTTGTGAAAGGGTACCTATTGGAAGAAGACGCTCATTCAAAGGGTTCTTTCTTTTAACAAAGAAATGTGAAGCTATGCAAGGATTCGATTTGAGGACGGGGGGATGATACAAGCACGTTTTCACCTACAAAGGGAGTACTCTTAAACTTTTTTTATGTTTTATTTATTTTATACTAGTTTAATAATATATGCTATTATAATACATCTCATGTTAAGGTTACTAGTTATGTAGTTAATAAATAACTTAGCATGAACACATCTTCATAATAGATGCACATTGTTATTTAAATATGTTAAGCATGTTAGAATAGTCTTGCAATCATATTAAGCATGATTCATCACATTTATATAATGGCAGCATACTTATCATTTATTTTATTAGCTCATATGCATTCATTTTAGCTCTTAGGCTTTAAACATTAGCTCACACATATTATATGATGATATATGTAGCTAATAACATGCAACCATAGCTCACAAGACCATGATCATGCATGCAACAAGGTATTTAGATCATACAAGCTCAATACCAATGAATTACCTTGTTTTCTTGCAATGTAGGTACATTGGAGCATGAAAAATTTTGGGTCAGCTTGGTGGAGCATTTGGAAGTCATATGCATCTCATAAAAAGCTCACAAAGAACATGGCAGCTCATAGAACACTAAGGAAAGCTCAACTTAGCCGGAGGATCTCAAGGCCAGCTAATCTCAGCTAGTTGGACTATTTGAAACTAAGTTGCTAAAAGTGATATCAATAGTAGCTGAATGTAGCTGAGTGTGCTGTTATGAAGCTTGCAAGGTCTCGGCTAGGAAGCTCATTCACAATCATCCCCTTGCTTCCTAGCTAGCTACACACTCAAGCAAGCTTGGAGGAAGACCCATGCATGCCCAAGATGATGCACATGACCAGCCTTCATCCTATGCACAAGGATGCACCACAAGGTTTCCTAGAACACCCATGTGCGTGCCATATGACCAGCAACCATGTGCCTTGCATGTGGTCTCTTTTAGGCGCCAAGATGAAGAGCCATCTACCCATTCAGCCAAGCATCATGTACTCTTCCATTTGGTGACAACTTGAAAGGATACAAATGCTATTCGGCCGTGAGACATGTTCCTACATTTCAACCGAACCAACACGTATTTATTCATGTTAATTATGTATTAAATATTGTCTTTTTAGAAGGCACAAGGGCTGGCCGAACCATCATGTACCTAGTTGTGTCTCTTCAAAAGCTATAAATAGGCTTTCCTATTTCATTTATAAGTAGACTTTTTTCATCAATTAAAGTGAGATATTTCTCTTTACTTAAGTCCTTGTGACTTTTATCGACTTATCAAGTAATTTATTACTTGTGGCGTCAACCCTTTAGCTTTGATACTTGTGGTTCATATCTCTATATAGATAGTGGGTCCAAGTCCTTGTTATCACCCCTTAGGAAGGATTTGTAAGGTTGGGTCGTTGCTCTCTATAGCACTACTTCTTCCTTGGTCATTTCTAAGATATTATCCTCTTCAACCTTCCATTGTTTCATCAACCATACCATAGCCATAATAATCATCTTCCGCTACCATCTCTCATTTCTATAATATCCTACCATTTCACCTTTACATCTACCACCAAACCATCTATTTGATCCATTCACTTATATATATTGTTTTGCTTCCTTCCTAGATCCACAATAAATTAAAATGGTAGAATTACCTTACTTCACACCCTTTTCTCTTAAATGATCATTTTCTAAATCGTATTATCTCAAATTGCATTCGTAATCATGGCACAAAATTATCGACCATTCGTGAGAGCGACTATTGAAACAAGCCTTATTTAACTTGTATTTAGTTCTAAATTTAATGAAAAAAATTAAAACACGTGTTCAACATATCACCAATAAACTATCTAACGATATATCCTAATTATATCTCAAATTTTCTTCAAACCCTAAAATATAACGCTCCCTATCAGTCCTATCTTTAAAATGAAAATGCTTAGGCAGATCCAGTTATCTAAAATCTCTCTGATTCTCTACAGTACAGAGTCTTTTCAAATGTGTACAAACAAGAATGACAAATGTGGTGGAAGCCGACAGTCGACAATGGATATTTCAAAAGAAATTATATGGTTGTTATACCAAAAATGGCTGCTGCTTTAGAGAGTCATGATGAAGAGGGAGAAGAAATTGAGGGAGATGAAAGTGAAGGTGAAGTATAGGAGAGGTGTAGACACCTGTTTTTGTCTGGGTTTAAAAAATATTATTATTGATTTATTTATTATTATTATTATCTTTATTATTATTTTTGCAAGTTTTTTTAACCCGTTTCCATTGACTTTTTCTCACCATTTTCTCATTACCCCACCATTATCTCAACCCCGTTCAGATCACCACCCACATCTCCATAATTCTTGGTTTGATGTTCACCACTTTCATCACTCTTAAAAGCATACTCCTAAATATAAAAAGGGGGAATTGAATCAGTTATGAGGGGACCTACAAAAAAACAAAAAAGGCAGGAGAAAGAGCAAAGAAAAAAAATTGAAGAGAGAGAGAGGTGTTATGGCCTCTCGACCATAGCACGAAACATCCAGCAGTATACTCATGCCACCAACCTCCTCAACCTGTTAGCCTCCTCTAAGAAAATTTGCATCCATGGCGGCAACATCCTTAACCAACCTACACACCCCTCTCCTTCAGAAGACTCATCAAAGCCATGCCTTTCTCAAACCCAAAATCACCTTCCATAATGGAACCTCGCCTATGCCCTTCTCCATCTCTTGTTCATCCACCATCCAAGGCCTCCCTTCCTTTCAATCCTAATCTCAAGAGCGGGCTTTTTTAATTTCGCCACTGGTCCCGTCACCTTGCCCGAGAACCCCCACCCCAAGGCCCAAGCCGAGCTTTACAATTGGCACAGATCTGGCACAAGCGTCATGGAAATGAGCCACCGCGGGAAGGATTTATGTTCCATTATCGAGAAAGACGAGGCCAATCTACGTGCGTTTCTCAACATCTCTGAAGACTACGCCGTTTTGTTCCTCCAAGGTGGGGCGGATTTATGTTCAATTATCGAGAAAGAAGAGGCCGATCTACGTGCGTTTCTCAACATCTCTGAAGACTACGCCGTTTTGTTCCTCCAAGGTGGGGCGACAATCCAGTTCGCTTCTGTCCCTTTGAATCTGTCAGCCTGATGACACCGTTGACTATCTCGTTACTGGTTCGTGGGGAGACAAGGCTTTCAATGAAGCTAAGAAATACTGCAAACCCAAAGTTGTTTGGAATGGGAAATCGGTGAATTACGTGAAGGTTCCCTCGTTTGATGGGTTGGGACTAAGCTCGAATGCCAAGTATTTGCATATATGCGCCAATGAAGCTATACATGGGGTCAAAGCATCAGAAAATCTGTATGCACAGGAGGTAAAGCAAAGGAAGGAACTTGAGAAAGCCCACGTTAATAGCATATGGGACCCATGTTAATAATTCATTTTGTTTTGAGAAAAGCCCACGTGAAGTTGGACATGGGTAAATTCTTTATATGGTCCTTCAACTATTATGGGTATATTACATCCTCGGTCACTGTAAGTTGCATTTGTTACAATTCAGTCCCTGAATTAAATTTTCAACTTTCAATTTAGACTTCAAATGTTATTATGCTTACATTTCAGTCATTAATATTTACTTTCAGTTGAATCTAACCTAGAAATTCGTACATATTTCAATTTATCCACTATTCTTTTTTGTTTATTTAGCCACTTGTGTTTTAAAATTTTGCATTTTGATCTTCAATTTTTTTCTCTCGATTTCTTTGTTAATATTTATTATTATTATTATTGTTTTAGAGTTTTCCATTTTTATTATTTTTCCAATATTTTACCTTCCTTTTATTACTCTTCTTTTTATTAAATTTTTTTATTTGATTTTATTTTTCTTTAACTTTTTTTATTTCTTTTTTCTTTCTTTCTTTTCCTTCCCTTTAATTTATTATTTTTATTTTTTATTTTTTTAATTTTTTTCTTTCATTTATTTAATACTTATTTATTATTATTATCATTATCTAACATTTTCGACCGTTTCTTAGAAGAATTCAAGTCAATCAAAGGTAAGCAATTCGAATTCGGTTTTTAAATTTTAACTTAAATTTAAAATTTTCGCAAGAGAACCGGAAAATTAATTAGTACCGAAATGGCAGTTCAAGGGTGCTAATCCTTCCTTGACCGTAATCGACTCCTGAACCCGACACATTTATGGTGAAACGCAGATCAGGTAAGATGGTGTCCGATCTATTTAAATATTGTTTTAAAACGATCGTTGGTGACTCTAACCCATTATTTCAAGTCGAAGCCAAATTTCAGGCTCAACCGAAAGACAATCGCGACATGAGGGAAGAGAAGAATAGATTGACTATAGCGATAAAAAGGTTTGTTCATATTTATGAAAGAGTGGAAGGGAACTTTGGAGGTCGCGATAATCGACTAGAATCTATCATCTCACTAAAGTCAACGTGGTGGATTTTGGTAGGACTATCGTTGCCTGGGTATACCATGAAAGCTCAAACAAGATATATGGCCAAGCTAACCCTTACTTTATCTTTTTTCTTATTATCAATGAATTCCCCCTTAAAAAAACGATTTTTGCTTTTGTTTTAGTCTATCTCTCTATCCTCTGTTCTCTATAGCTTTTTAGACAGAGAGTTCTCAAAGTGAAAGATTCAAAGTTTGCATCAACCTTTGCAAATCTTTTTCTTGTTCTACAATGGAAAATGTCATAATTTTAGCATCAGCCTTACCTGTTTCTTGTTCTACAATAGAGCGCGAGGAAATGGAGTAGACGAGATAGTATGCCAACAACGGATAAGCACTAACCTTTGATACCCAAAAATCTATACTAAATATTACTTCATGTAAGAGTTAATCAGGTTTGAGACGTAGTCTGGTGGTAAGGTGCTAAGTCTTTTAACCTAACGACTTGGGTTCAATACCCAGTAAATTATATTTTAAAATTTTCATATTTAACCCAGCCCAAAGAGATGATAACACATGTCATCATTCCATTGGCTGATAATTATTAAATAAAAATATATAAAATTAATTTAAAAATAGATATTTTAATATTTTTACAAACATGGCATTTGCCACGTTAGTCACTTTCGTATATGTGGCACTTCCACATCAGTATGTGATGCCATATAAGCTTGCCACATCATCTTCATGCATTGACCTTTAGTTGACTAACGGTTTCCATCCAATGAGTGTGTATTTTGACCCAAAATAAAACGTTATGAGATAATATGTTTCAAAAAAGAATAGGGACAAAATTGGCACTACTGTCAAACGTTAGGGGTATTTTGTTGCGTTATGCCTAAATGAAAGTACATCATAATAAGTTAAGATATAATATGTAATACTAAATGTAATCATGACATGAATATGAATGAAACATATGACATATATTTCTAAGCTTATATTAAGATGCAAACTTATGTTCATGATTGAATATAATGTAAATGTCATGTAATATATGATAATATTAAGAAGAACTCCCTCTATTTTAGCCATTGACATCTGCAGCGGTGTGAGAAACTCATGGAAACATTTGGTGTTGGTCAAGATCACATTAGTATCGTTAATGTGCAACCAGTCACAAGCATGTCTCAGATTAAACAAAACATAATCACAAAGCGACACACATTATACATGGCATGATAAATTTGCAAGTTTATATGCACACAATCCCTATACATTGTCTGAAGAGTAAGGTTCCCCAGAACCATTCTCTATTATACATTGTCTAAAGTGAAAGTCCTCTTTGAAGGGAGAAACCACTAATAATCTGAAGTGAGATTCATCCCAAAGGGTGAATTCACAAAACTTTCCTGAACATAAATCCAACTCCCAATATGACAAATTATCATGCATCTCACTCTGAAAACTGGAAAATTAACATGTTCCCTAAAAGTCAGATCTGAACTGCATACTAGTTAAATAAATTTTCACATCACAATCATGCCCAAAAGTCAGGTAAAGATCATGCCGATCAACCAGAATACACAGAAAAATAACTATAGCATAGGATAGAGATACACCTCCAGAAAAAGAAACTCAACATCGCATGTAACGTTTCTCACGCTGACCTCTAACATAGGTCGTACCAAATCAACTTCTACGCAATAATTAATAGCAATTTACAACTATAATGTAACAAAAAGAACCAAATCGAAGACTGATGTTCTACACTATTGCTCACAAGTTGCTCTCGTAACATGAGTCAATACAATCTAAATAGGTGGTAACTCTTCTCCAAGTAAAGGTCTCTTGCAAAAATATGAGTGTTTGACTCATAAATCCCAAACACACAATTTTCCAAAAAATGTAACGTTAATATGATAATTAAAATAAATCTGACTCAAAAAGAGGACCATGGCAGTAAGCTTTCGGTCTGATTGATTCCAACCAGATCTACAACACCCCATGGTTACCAACGAAAAGGGCCATTATAGTAGTGATGACTAGAGGGAACAGCGGTACATACGACAACCCATGGTGTAGCCAGTAATGGTCAAAGGGTACCAGCCCCGACCAATAGTAGAGATGTTCAACCCTAAACCAGATGATTTGTTTAACTCTTACGTGAACCCATATGCTCAATACCAAGAATGACTGTGTACGACGACGAGCCTCTTGATTTTCTTATCCAAAAAGGGGTGGTGTTAATAGCAAGGTAACGCCCAAAAGTGAGGGTCGCGATGCGAGGTGGTTGCGTGAAGAATGGCTTCAATTGTTGGTGACCTTGGTCCAGAGAAGGAGAGACACATGAGGAAAAGTAAAAAAAAAAGAAGAGGGGATTGACTAGGTTAATGATATAGAGAAGGGGTGTTATTCTCTAAATAAAATTGAGTAAATTGTAACATAAATCTCTGCATTCTCTAAATTTTTTCGAAAGTGGCCAAAGTATTGCTTCCTTTGCATAATGTCATCAAATTAACATTTAGGCACCCAAAATTTCCTCTAATTTCAATTTAGTCCTTAATCCAATTTAGGGATTTGAAGAAAACCCCATAAATTCTAGGGTTTCAAACTAGGCCTCATCATATCCTCGATTATACTATAAGACTTTGACTATCTTGACAGTCTTCCTCTAGAGAATTTCTTTATCCTCCTCGAGAATTTCAATCGGCTCCTATTCAATTCTCAAATCAAGTCAAATCTCTACCTTATCCATAGCCATAACGTGAGACATGTTGTCTCTATAATGTCTTAACATGAAACATGGAAATCATCATGAATGTGCACAAGCTTAAGTGGTAATTCAAGATTATAGGTAACTGGTCCAACACTACAAATAATCCAATAAAGACTAATAAAACGAGGACTTTGCTTGCCTTTCTAACTGAAACAAAGTACATTTCTCTATGAAGATACTTTTAAGAAAACCTCGTCACCCACATCATACTCAATACCATGATGCTTCAGATTAGCGTAGGACTTAAGACTATCAAAAGTAGCAGTAAGTCTACCCTAAATCATCTTGACAGTCTTATCTTCCTTAAAAACCAAGTCTGGCCCCAAAATACATGCTCATTAGGCCCAGTCCAACCAATAGGAGTTCAGCATTTACGTCCAAATAGATCATCATATAATGCCATCTTCATATTGTCCTGATAACTATTATTGTAAGAAAACTCTACAAGAGTAAAAATTCCTCCTAATTGCCTCTATAATCAACCACACAACCTTTCAATAAATCTTCCAGAATCTGGATTACTAATAACTACGTGAAAAGGCTATATTTAGAGCCTTTTCACTCAATTTATTGGTTGTATTAAGGTGCATGTAGGTTCATGTATATGTATTTAGGAGCATATAATTACATTCGGTGGTTTGAATTTACTGTGACAAATTATTTTGTAGATGGTGTTATTTTATGGGGAATGTTTGGTTTAGATGTTGATGCCCAGGTTTTACGGGCAAGGGTGTGTAAATAAACTTTTTGTGGCGAGTGAAAATGAACGTGCCTTGGCATTTTTGGGCGTATAAAAGGACAAAGAAGTTGAAGATATTTCCACACAAGGCTAACTGTCCTTTTTCACCATGTGAGTCTTACTGCCTGCCACATAAGAGGGGGCCACTGCCATCTTTGTACTACCTTTCACATGAGGGGAATATACCCTAGGCTACTATTGGAATATTTAGCAAAAAAACCTAGGATATTCCCTTAGTATAAATAGAAAATGATGTCATAAAAAATCAAAGGAGGATTTTTTGAGGGAAAAAGTGAGGTAGGAAATAGTGAAATGGGGGGCTGAAAGTTTCCATTTTGTCCTTTTCATCTTCTTGGTGGTAACCTCCACAGCCAAGCTCAAGGGAGAAGCGAGCTAGAAATTCGAGAGGAGTTAGCACGCTAAGGTGTCATTCGAGGTGGTCCGAGGAGTAACCAGCACCGCGCGTTGGGAGTTTCCTCCACCTCTATGCTTTCATTTT